ACTAAGATTCAGGAGTGTGCTTATGTGTGCTTCTGGAAACTATTGTTAGTAAACCGTCAAATGCTGTGGGTGCATTTGTGGGTGAGGGCTAGAAAACACCAGCATTTTGGAGAAGAGGTAAGATAGGCATTTTCCTTGAGCTGCCATTCAGGAAAGCAGTTAGAGCAAAGACTACTGACACTGCAATTACACGTCATGTACTTTGCAGCAAGACTGACTTAAATTCTGAAGCCACATAAAGACAGGAGGTTTTAAAGCACTTCTGCATGATGCTGAATGCACAGTGGTTGCAGCATCTGTCAGTTGAAGGGTCTAGACATACACAGACATTTGGAGCAATAAAAATAATTTGGGAGCTAGACAGGATCTTCCCAGCTGGTAGATCAAGGGTATGAATTGGACAAACATACAGAAACCTTGTAGCTTTTTCCTTTATTATATGCTCAAGGGAAAAAACAAAGTAACCAATAATCCTTTAGAAGATTACCTTTCCTTTCATGGACAGATTTTGGAGAAGAAAAAAAAAATGTAGCAATGCTCTCAACATTTAAGGGTTTGTGACAGTTCAGGTGTAGTTCATTTTGTCTAGATGCACTAGCCTAGTACAAGTAATAACTAACTCAGGTTAAATTAGATGCTAACTTCAAATGAAAGGTGTTACTGTTTTTCTCACTACCGTATCAATGATAAAAACAGTACATGGCGTGTTAGCAGCTGAGAGCTGTCACTATGCTGTATGGTAAACAAGCTTGTATGTGTTCTACAGTACGTGCAAAATAGGTCAGAGACAACACTATCAGAAAACCAAAAGTCTCAGAATCTGTCAGTATGCTTAGTTCAACATATTTAAGTTCTGAAATGAAGTCTTCCCATATTAGTCTATCTAAAAACAAACAAACAAACAAACAAAAACTTTCAATACCTTATTCTTTGGAAATGCAAGGAAAGTTCTAAAATGCAGATTAAACCTTATTAACATTCAAAATGTATCAGGTAGGGAAATCATAAATGTAAATCAAATGTGATGTAGCACTTACAAGGGGCTGCAGCAGGACTGTAAGGAGAAAGCAAATCATACATTTAACATCTAAGGTAATGAAAGGAGCATCAGAGAAATATTTCAGTAGGGAAATCAAAGACTAACCAGATGGTAATGGATATCCTTTTCTGCAAGCATCTGCATTAAAAAAAAAAAAAATGCAGCTCACATAATTGATTATCATTCTGATTCTGTAGCACATAGTACAAATAAACTGAACCACTGCTAACAAGATTCTGTATATTAGCTGCTCTGTCAGCCTTACTGACAGTGATTCTTTATTGAGAAGAAAAACACGGCACTCTCCACGGTTGTTCTTTTAGATGACCCTTTAACAAGAAGCTTTGTACAGCATCAATTTATTCTATAATGTAACATTTTAACTCCAAAGAATAGGAGAGGGGAAAAAAAAAAAATAAATAAATAAAAAAGATCAAAAGTTAAAACTATGCAACCTTTCTATTCAGAGCTTCTTTCTCCTAAATAACACATTGGAAAGAAGAAATAGAATACCACTTGTTGCAATGCATTTACCTGTTATAGCATGTTTTCACAGTTCTTTTGTGACATTCTCTAGAAAGTACCGTACGTATGCTGCTGCAAAGAGACAGTCCCTAATTCAGTAGAGCTTCTCATTTGCTGGACTGCAGGACCTTCCACAATGTGAAGATTTAAGAGACAGAAATGGTTCTCCAAAGACAGGGTGCACCTGTGAAATGTTGCAGACTTTTGCTAACTAGTCTCTTTTGCTATGATACAACATAGCCAGAAATTAAGGGGGAGGATCACAACAGTAGCACACAAAAAATTTGTAGCTAAGGATCTCTAAACTCCTCCTGATGCACTTAAAGCCTTCCATTTTCAGGACTAATATTTCATATGAGAAAAGCTCCTCCAATTTTTGTTAGCACATCTACGGAAAATGTAAAATTCACAGCATTCCAAAAAGTTTTATGTAACCACAAAACATACTCACTGTGCCCCTCCTCTTTATTTGAACACTTCATAAACAGTGATTTCAGTCAATCAAAACAGAACTGCAATCGGTCTGCATCAGCCAACTGACCCTGTTCTTCACAGAGGAAAAAAAAAAGATTAGTACAAGATTCAATTCGTAACAGGAGCTGTAGCAAGTGGGAGTTGTGATTTCTCTTATCTGTGAGATTTTCCTCCAAACATTCTGAAACAGTAACGTGCATCTTCAGTAGTTATTTCTATTGTTCTTCAACAAATAGGGTTTTTTAATTCCTTGGACTAGCCAAAGGTTATAATGGTGTGACCTGAAGTTAGACCAAACGCCCCTACTAGTTCCAAAACATAGTTTATATACTTTTTGATGACAGGACCCCCCCTGTTTCCCCACTGAGTGGGTAATCCAGGTTCACAATCTCAATACCACATTCCTTTTAAAAACTGATGTGTCCCCAAGGGAAAACCACCTTGCCTACACAGAGAAACTAAACCTTTCACGTTGATGCCTGAGGTAAAGCTGACTACACCTCTGCAAACTGGCTAGGAGTTTTAAGTTTTACAAGTTTTGCAGATTAAAAAGGAGGTTGCTCTTTTCCAGGAAATGGAACTAAGAGAAAATCGTTATCTACTGTTATCTACTGATTTACTTTGTGGATGCCAATTAAATTATGCAAGTACTTCGTTTAAATCAGCTTTAATAAGTTATATCAAAGGCATGTTTCACTCAAGGAGAATTAATAAAACTTGCTACCCTAAAGGCAACTGGTGGTAACATGAGAGTGGCAAGCAAAAAAAAAAAAAAATTAGTCTTCAGAAAATCCCATTTACAGGTTAAAGAGTTGTCACGCTGAGAATTTTGTCACTTTCTTCATTTACCACACCAATGGTCTCATACCGTATTGGATAAAGTTTAATTCAATACTACACTGTAATTTTTTACTATGCTAATTCTAGGCAACTTTTCTCCTCACAACTGTATCGCTACTGACAAGTATGCCACGGCTGAAAGCAAATGGGCACTGAAAACTAGTCAAAATTTTTCACTAAACTGACAAATGACTGTGTATTACTGTGTTTTTATTGTTATCAGCTGTATTTATATCCATAAGTTGCCACTGACTATTCACATATCTGCATCTAATACACATTTCCATACATTAACTTCAATGTACCCCATGTGAATGTGTTGGCATCACTCCATGCTGTGTTGGGTCTGTCTGAGCTGGAGTCACCTTTCCCTGCAGCAGCCCGCACAGTGCTGTGCTCTGCACTCGTAGCTGGAACAGCACTGATATCACTCCAGTGTTGTGTCTATTGCTGTGTAGTGCTGGCACAGCATCAGGACTCCCTCCAAGCCCCCAAGAGCCAGCAGGTGGTGCCCAACGTGGGGCTCGAGGGTTGAGATAACAGTAAAATTGATTAAAGTATTTACAACTAATATAATGCTAGTCACAGTGTTGGGTTTTCTGTTAATATTTTTGTGTGACTATGCTGTATGTAGTCCGTTCTCTGTTCTCTTTTTTCCTCTACATCCGATCGGAGAACATGTTGAAATCTGTGTTTGGTTTCTTTATCATGCTGTGCTGTACCATGCCAGCCTTCAGTTTCGTCTGGTACTCAGGCCTTGCATTGTTATCATTCTAGGCTCCTGGAGATTATCTTTTTGGAAATATTAAGAATTACACTGCCTTCTTTTTCTCCCCTAGCAGTCAATCCGTGAATATCAGGGGTGGTGCCTTCTTCTTTTCTCCTTGGGGGCTAATTGCAGCAGCCTTTGAGTATTTTGGCTACCCTTGGTCAGATGTTATCCCTATTTCTAGTTCTAGTGTTTGTCTTCCTCCCTGAGGTCAAACAATTAATTAAGAATATCATCTAAGGACCCGCCCCGAGACAAAGTAGTTGTGGGTGGCAAGGTGTGGGGGGGGATTTGGGCAGGTACCTGTCACAGTGTTCTCCTCTGATGGTTCTTAACTTCACCCCGGAACAAGTGCAAAATCCAAGAAAACTGGTAGAGTGTTTGAAAGACGTATGCCCTGACCCTGGCAATACCAGAGAACTCCACCAGCTTGCTGCACTCTGCTGGGGTCTGGCTTACGCCTATCAAATGTCAATTAACACTGCCCAGCACCCTCAAGGGGACAGGGAAGTTCCTGAATTCGATGACGAGATAACACACACTGTGAACACCCCAAAGGACCAACCAGCTATGGTATCAGTCGCCCCTACAGTCAACACAAAAACAATGGAAATGAAGTAAGCTTGTTTAGTAAGGGAAGAAGCTCCTCCTAAGGACGAGGGAGAAGATGAAAACCACCACATATACAGACAAGCAGATGTTTCGTTTCTTTAAGCTGCTTGAGGGAGGTCTACTTTTACCACATGAAGACCCCATTCCTTCTCATGTTTCTTCAGCTAAACACTTCACAGTATTTCTTCCCAGATAACCTCCTGTTTTCTCGTGGGAGTGCCTCACACTGCATATACCACTGTTCTGCCTCAGATTTCACAGTCAGCCTAAGGAGCACGTAACCCCTGACCAGAAAACTGATTCTTTAACAAGTATATAGAGTGGTACGTAGGCTAAACCTAACATAACTTTGAAGGGTTCCCTGACACTGCAGAAGCCCCAGGGAATGGTTTAACAGCACACAGAGAGAAGACTTCGGCTCCTCACTGTCCTACAATAAGGGCACTGGAAAATATTTTAATTTCCTCTACCTTTCAAAATTACTGCAGATTCCAAGGAAGCAAGCTGAAATAAAATTAATAACCTAGAATATGAAAAAAAAATAATTCATGCTTAGCATTCTTCTCAAAAGCAAATCATAACGTGTTTTGTTTGTTTGTTTTCAGTAACTGAATCATCCTTTTGTATTACAGAATCATGCATCCATTACTCTGCAATACATTTGCAAGAGGTCTCCAAGTGCCTGTTTCACAGCACACGAAAGCTCGACTTCTTTCAGGTATGTACGGAAAAACTCGTTAGTACTTTCCCAAACACTGATTGATATTTATTTCACAATGATAAAAACTGAAAGATTTTACATCTTCCCTACTACAGAAGTAATTTTCAAAGTCGTGTCCTTATCATAAACTAAATTACATGTTAAATGTTTATATTAAATATAAATGGCTTATATCCTCATAACACAAAGAGCAAGTGTTCAGTATTTCTTTATAAAATTTAACATATGCAGGCCTTGTACATATGGCTTCATTAACATATACAGTTTGTTATTAGTCGTATCCATTAACAGAAACAGTGCCCCTACTTCAAGGATTCATCCTAATAATTTTAATGAAGTTCAGTATACCCCATTAGAGAGAACATGTTCTAATTAACAATTCTAATACCAGTGACAGTGTACAGTACTTTTTGCCAATCTACTGTGATGTAATTGTACACAATAGGAAGAGACCAAATCATACAGCCCTCACCACAGTACATTTACTTCAGGAATGGCTGGAAGATTTGGCTCACAATACATGATTCCATGTGTTTAGTTAAAAATGGGGAACATTTTCTAACAAGAAGTCAGAATTCTGACGTCACGAAACTGCAGTCAAACTTAATTTTGAATGTGAAATTAAAATGTATTGGGAAGCTCAATACCCACTGAAATAAACTGATCTGCAAGCAGGACATTTTCACATCAATGCTTAAACAGGTATTTTTAAGGCATCATCCCATTTCAATGAAGTTTAGCAATGCAAAAATAAAATTAATTCTTGGAGATTTTCAAGTTGTAGTTTCCGAGAACAGGATCTTCATATTTAGAGCACTGACAGCCTGACTTCTCCATTTTAATAGACTGTTGTGAAAATAAACACACTGGGACAAGCTATCATTCAGCCTAAAAACACATGCCAGCAAGGACATCATGCAACAACCCCAGCATCAAATCACATCAGGTAGTGACTAAGTTCAGCTAAGAGATCACACACGGCTTTCCAAGGAGCTGGGAAGTTAAAAAAGACAAGAGCTCAGCATACACACACTGCTATGGGAAGAAATGGGGCAGGCTTCAAATACATCCATGAAGTTTCCTCTGGTTTCTGGGCTCTTTAGAAAACCCTATCTACAACATACACATCTGCCCTGCAAAAAAAAGCATGAGGAAGGACTCTTCTCAGAATAGGAATTCAGAATTAAGTCACGACATTTGCTTACATTTACTTTGGTAACACAGCTCTTTGTGGATAAAGTAAGCAGCAAAACAGTATGAAAAAAAACAAAACACATTGTTATGCTAGCTGAGTATTTAAACAAAGTTATCATATAAAGCGTTTCTAAAAGAACATTTCAAAGCATCATGGAGACAATAGCTGAAGCTGATCTAAGTTTAAAATGCAGAATTGCTAGAAGCTGACTTTGAGCTGTGAAGCCTGTGCATAAAACTGAGAAAAGAGTTAAGCTAACACAGAATAAAGCTAAGACCAATCTCATTTTAACATCTTAGGAATATTTCTTTTTAAACTAATCACAACATAAGAAAAAAATGTGAAATGTGCAGACGAAATAAGAAGATGAACAACAGCAGCTGGACATTGTTATCAATTCACAAACAGGACAAGAAAATAATAAAGAGATCAGAAGGTTATGCAGAAGTTTGGAAACAAGACAGTATTTGGGGAGTAACTTAGACAACAGGGGAGTAGGAATCAATCTGAAAACTAAGGGAAATAACATACTGCTTGACTAAGAAGTTTGCAATTCAGCGGGACTGCAAAATTAGCTAATGCAATTTGGGAATGACTCCAAGCTAGGAAATACAGTTTTATGAACACAACTTTGGCACAACTACAAGAATATTATGGTTTCTTCAGTGAAAGAAATTAACTGAAAGACAAATTGGCAAATACATAGAACAGTGACTGAGACCGAAAAAAATAATTAAACTTCAAAGTTAATAGACTCCTCAGCCAAGCAGACAGAATTTCTAGAAGTGTCCCAATACTGTTCAGAAAAAAAAAAATAATCCTTTTCAATTGAGATATTTAATAATCCAGAGAAACAGGATTAGAAAAGAAAAATAGCTTCCTCAAAATGAAGTGCACTACTTATGAAGAAAAGTAATGAAAACTGAGAACTCAGACCAGGTGAACAAGCCAGATTTCTGGCAGCAGCTATGTCAGAGGAATATACATACATAATTCCTGATTTATACATTTGTACTGGCAGGTTCCTGTGATGTAAATCCAAAAATATTGCAAGAGGACTGCCTGATTAAGCTGGGTGAGTAGAAAGTACCTTATCTACAGGTATGAATCACAATGCTGACAACACAGATGCATCCAAAACAGGAATATTCTTTGCTTGCAAACATATTTCAGTATAGAAGATTGTTAAGCAGCTTATTATGTAGTAAAAAGCATAGTATATTTTTTTAATATCTCTAGTGTGGTGATGGCCTCTAAATGCTACAGAAGAACAGCTACTTCCAGAAAGCGAATTACAGCTCTTAACTACAAAAAGCATGCATCGATTTCTGTAATCCAGTGTGTTCTAGAATTTTATGCTTCTAAAATAAGAGACATTCTATATCTTGAACATTTTTTTTGCCTGCAGTAGGTCTCCATATTCTTAGGCTACATTGATCCAGGGAAACATACAATCATATATTTGAAAATAACATTCTGCTTTCTTTTCCAGAAAAATCTCAAGTTTTGAAATGAAATAAAAGAAAGTATTAGACAATAATTTAAAGTTATCCCAATTCCACTGGTAGTTTCACAAAAGAGAATCTAAACTGGTCAATGTCTATGTTACAAATGAGACTTCAACAATACACAAAACTAAAAACTACATGGCTGCACTGTTTTCAGTTAGTTAGTCCAAGGCAGCCAGAAAAATCAAAACTGTATGCTGGAATTGCTCATGTAAAATACATCATGAACATTTCTACATAAATGAAAGCTACAATGATTAAAGCATAAGATGAATGTTCAAGATCAAAACAGGATTTTTTTAAATGAAACTCGTATTAACCTTATGCACTTCTTCAGAATTCTGTTCCAAGTCAGTATTTGACATAATTTTATAGTAATCTAAAACAACTGGCAACAAGACAGCAACGAATGATGGTGTAACAAGTACTGAGTCCCTTCATAATGATATAACTATCAGTATATACTTGTATGAAAACAGTTAAAAATGGTGGTGTTTCAAATACAGGATATACCTCTACTGACTAAGTCTTTCTAGGAGAACCACCCTTCTATCTGGCGTAAGAATTAACATTTAACATTTCAAGGTTTGTCCTCAGTAACATTTATTCTACCACCATATGCCCACTGTTACATACTTTTATACAACATTTGTTGTGTACTTTATGCATCCATTACATAAACAAAATGTTTTAATTTATTTTCAAAGAGTATTAAGAACAAACATGTCTCAAACATACTAAACTGGTCACATTTATGTTGTTCACATAAATTTAGTCTTTAATTACTTGTACAAATGGTTCAAAATTTTGCAATCAAAAGTCAGGCATGTCTTAAAATAGTATGCTCAGTTTACATTCTATCATTGTTACCTAGCTGCCTCATTCTTACAATTTCATCAGTGGATGATCAATACTAAAAAGATTATCATTTCTCGCATGTGTGTATTATTTAATACTTGTCCTAAGTATAAATTTGCAACACAGTAGTAACACTGTAGGTACAGGAGTAATGCTTCCTATCAGGCATGTGAAAAGATTAACGCTCTACCACAGTTGATGCTGGTGTATTTTATGTAGAAGGCTTCTCACGTATCATTTCAGTCTACAGGAGGTAGATGTTTGTCTATGAACTGTTTTACATCCATCATCTCCTGTTCAAAGAGAAAGGTATGCATTAGTTGAAGTTCACTGCTAATATATATTCAGCTACACAAAATAAGGTTTCAAAAATTCAGTTATTGTGAGCAGCTGGGCTAGAAATACTGAATATTCAATTAGTTACTTGATATGTTTTTACCACTTTGCACACAGCAAATCAAAGCAGGTAACTTCAAGGCACTGGATACAGCTTTGCTTGGAAGAGGTTAAAGCCAAAGGAAAAGGACAAAGGCCACCTTTTTTCTCTGTGAAGTTGAACAAACAATCTACATATTAATCATCAAGTAATGCGAACAGCACCAGGCTGAAGATGGACTGGCTTTGAATGTAGCTAAGGCAGTAGGTTCATGCATACGTTAAACCTTTGCAAGTTAACAGTGGTGCAAAAACCCAGCAGCATCTCTTCCTAGCCAAACAATTTTACCTTCATGATACTTCCTATCTTAAGGAAGGAAAAGTAACACTGTGAAACAGACCGGGAAACCAATCCACATAAGAAATAATTTAATTTTTATTATTATTTTTTCCTGAACCAGAGAAGCTTCTTCATAAGAACACACAATAGGAGAGTAAATGACAGTAGCACTTTATGGAAGTTTAGAACATGCATTAAGTTATGACCCCACAAAAAATTATGAAAAAAACATATCACAAAGTACTAATTGTCATAAGAAAGAACACATACATTTGCATGACAACTCAATGCTATTACTATCTAAATGTAATAAAACTGCATTAACCTCCCAGAGAGATGCAGCAATCCAAATTTACAAAGTTACTGCTGCTGAAAAATGGAAGACCTGTTCGTTGCTGCCTATTCTGTTTTTTGCTCCTACCATTGTGCGGGTTCAGATGCTTCAACTCACTAAGGCAGCAAAACTTAAGCCAGCAGCTTTTACCATTTTAGCAAATTCAGATGGTTCAAAGAAGTTTCTGATCAGCTCCAGAGCTGGTGCAGGAAGAGAGGGCCACAAGGTCAAGAGCAGAGGAAACTAGCCCACCCCTTTCTGGCAGCAGCAAGCCATTACATCAGCTCAACTGCTTGCTGGGCCAGAACCATAAGCACAGATTTTGAGGCTGCCTCTTTCAAAATTGCAACACCCCCCTCCAAATTCCTCTGATGTCTCCAAAACCATCCACAGAACGTGCACTTCTCCCCAGAATGCCAAGCTGCACTGATGCTGTGAGAATTCAATCCGCATTCCATTGTGGTGATTACTTTAATAAGCAAGCAATAAAAATTAGGAAAAAAAGTATTTTATAGACCAACCAGCCTAGACCCAAAAATAAAGTCTTCCAATGAAATCCCCACTAGTCATATAAACTTTTCCCTTGGATGTTTTTTTCAGCCAGGCATTAACTTATTCAGTAAAATAAGTCAACAGCACCATGCACTTTTAATTAAAAATAAAAATAAAAATAAAACAAACAAAAAATTGTTTGGAGGGAAAAATAAAGCGCACAACTAAAACATTGTACATTAAGAAAATTACCTCAATACATGAGCTATGCATCATGCCAGAGTAAGTCCTGAAGGTTACATTGGCTGGATTTATCATACTCTTTAGCTTCTCAACAGTAAGAGAACCAAACATTAAAGGAACAAGTGGGTCACAGTCTCCATGGCACTGAAGAACGGGAATCTCTTTGTTGACACCACTGATAGTGCCCTGTCCAGGATGAGATTTAAAGGGGGGGAAGAGAAGAAGAAGACAATAAATGAAGTACAACTAACATATTTGAGATAAAATTACCCCAGGGCACTACTTCCTGTGGTGTGACAAAGCAAGATGAATTCTCAAGGAAGAACATAATGAAAAGCACGCAAGTTCCCATGAAATACATTCTATGCCTGACCACCCACCCATTAAATTTAAACAACAACAAAAAAAAATCAAACAAAAAAAAAAAACAGGAAAAACACACCTGCAAGTAAGATTTTGGCACTCATTTCAGAAAATTTCTTAAAAAATGTGATTTCTGGACTAGTAAAACAAACTGATACTTTTTTTAAATACCCAGTCTTTAATAAGACTTGCAGATGGAACTAGTGGCAAATAGAAAATTCATCTTCAAGGAAAATCTTGCCATATCCTGTACGTTTCCTCCGAATGTTATTTTAAGCAGAGGTAGCTACTGAGTTCTTCCTCATTTTCCCAATGCCTAACTCTAAACCTGCAGTGCCCTATTTCACAAACTTCGGAGCTATCTAAGTGCAGGCAATACTCAGTAATGACAGCCACTAATTCCTGCACAAGATACAATCTTCAGATACACTAATTTCACAACTGCAGAACACCTTAAGAAAGAAACATAAATACCTGAGCAAAGGAAGTTCGTAGAGGAAGCCAACAGCTGAGGGCTACGACACCGGCTAATTTTTGTTGTGTTGTAAGAGCTGTGTATAATGATAAAGCACCTCCCTAAGACAAAAAGATTAGTATTACTATGGTGAAGGTAACGTTCCTTTTCATGTTTCTTTCAAGATCTTCAGTTTCTCCTTTAAAGAACTTTTTCCATTCCAATTCCTCAGAACCAATAGTAAGAGCAATATCAAGTATTCTTATACACAAATATACTGATATACAATACACTTATTGTATTTTCCCCCCACTTCCAAGTCCATGTGATCAATTCACAAGTAAAACGGCAAATTTACCAGAACTAACAGATGAAACTTAGACTTCAAAGCTAGACATGAATAAAAAGCCACTACCACTCACGACAATATCACCATTATTTTGATATTTTAATTCACTCTCACATAGACAGTTGGCATATAGACCTGATTGGTCTACAGGACATTGGCCTATTATGATATTTTACAAACCACAATGGTCGAAAGACCATGAAATACCTACCAAATTAAAGTTAAATTAAAAATACTATCAAGATGTTCAAGACAAGAGATTTTCAGGCAACACTACAAAAGACTTTAAATAGCCTATTCATTTTAGGAGCTTTTTCCCACATGTTCATTTTTCAGTGAACAGTAATTATTTGCTTAACATGAACAAATTCATTTTTTCAGGCAAAGAGAAACCGACACTTTAAAGTATCAGAAACACCTAACATCAGCTTTTCAGTTTGAGTTTGGATTTCCCACATTAGGGTAGGGAAATCCTAACTAGGTTATTTCCCTAGAAAGAGACACAGTTCTTTCCAACCATACCTTACCTGAGAAAAGCCTCCCAGAATAATTCGATTAGAAGGAATCCCATTTTTTACTTCTTGATCTATCAGTGCTTTAACTGCAACATAAATAAAGGCCTGTAGTGAAAATGCATTCCACTCTGTAGGAAGTCTACAAGAGAGGCTACAAGACAGTCTACAAGTTGACATCTCCCTGATGACAACAGAAAGCTAACGAAAGGAAACTTTCATCTGCTTTGCAGTAAGAAGTATCAAAAAATCTAGGGCATGATAAAAAAAAATAAAATCCAGTGCAGCTATACAATTTCCAAAGAGGAAAACGTGCAACGAAGTCTTGCAAGTTTCCCTGCTAGGGAGATAGTATCCTCTTCTAACTACCCAACAGCACAAATGGAAGACTGTTCTAACTTGCTATGCTATTCAGAGGGTCTTAAAAATAACAAAAAAAAAAACAGCACACTAGCTCCCACGTACATTTTATCATCAAGAATATGAAGTGTATGAAGTGTTTATACTGATGAACTACCTACTCACTCATGAAGTTAAAAAAAAAAATGCAGTTACCTAAACTCAAATCAACAGTAATGCAACACATTGTACTACCTTCCCCAATGATTTTGACTTTGTGAATCAGTAGACTGTTTCAGACTAATGATCAGTTTCAGAATACGAAGAAGTACTTTTAAGACCTAAAAAGCATTGTTAAACATACCATTCTCTGCTGCCTGCTTGATCCCAGCTTCATCTTCTTGTGAATCTGGAGAAAGTCCAATGATATCAAACCTTACAAAAACATCAACAAGAGCATTACTCATTAGAGCATCCATTCCACTTCCTTAAAACACAAATAGTAAAATTGAGATGTTTTCCAAACTAAAATGCTTGTTAGTTGACTTATTTCCTGAGAATCATCCACAGTTCGCAAGAAATCATGGACAACCTGTGGATGTAGATAAAATGCTAGATCTAGTCAAAGTTGTTCAGAGTTTCGCTACCTTCTGTAAATTACTGCAGGTTCAGCAGCTCCATTTTGGTTTTGTTCCAAATATATCAGCAGTCATTTCAATTTAATAGAATCACTGAATCATCACAGAATGGCTTGGGTTGGAAGGGACCTCAAAGACCATCTAGCTCCAACCCCTCTGCCATGGACAGGGATGCCACCCACTAGATCATGTTGGTCAGGGCCTCATCTAACCTGGCCTTGAACACCTTCCAGAGATGGGGCATCCACAACCTCTCCGGTCAATGTGTGTCAGTGTCTCACCGCCCTCTGAGTGAAAAATTTCCTCCAATCACCTCCCTTGACCTGCTGGCCACTCCTCTGTTGATGCAGATTTAACAGGTCTGTGTACAACTTCACAGTTTTATGTACAAAATTAAAATACTGATTGGAGATATATACAAAAACCAAACACAAGTTATTTGAGAAAAAAACACACAAAAAAAAGTCAAACAAGGACTGGTTTAAGACTATTTAAATCTATCAAAGTTTTTCTGCTTTCTATTGAGAGTGGATGATCTAGATTTTCTAGATGTTCTACTGCCACATCAAATATTGCTCACTAAGTAGCAATAGCATTTTCATTCCAAATCTCCACTACCGTTGACTATGCACAATACAGACTATAGATTATACTTCTAAAATAAAATGGTTTTCGGCTGTTTGCTTAAGACATGCGAGTTAGTCCTGAGGAGTAACCACTACCACACAGGGAATTAAGTGTCCTCATGAAAGCCTTTTTAAAGAAGGGAACTGAACCAAAAAAATTTGATACTTACATCCAATTAAAACTAGACATTTAGATTGTTCAGGATTTTTAATTAAGAACTATGAGTTTAAACCTCGAGAGTTGTCCGCAGTTTAACAAGTACTTACCACGATGGCATAGCCATGTTCATGTTTAAAGAAACTGGCATAACTGGCCTAAAAGTAAGAACAGACAAAAGTGACATCAGGTATACACTGGAAGTTGATAATACAAATGCAGTTACGTCATTAAATTACATCTCTCTAATTCTGTCTTACTTTTAAACCATAATTAACATTAGCTACCCTGTAGCATCTCTTCAAGAGATCTCCCTTGAAATTAGTGACTCCAAGCGTTTATTACTCAGGGCTGACTTATCACCCTCAATGGAGAGGAAGCAAAACACTGATGGGCTCCTTTATATATGTATACATACACACGTAAAATCCACGCATATATATGCCTTTTAGTTATTTCTAAGTATTTTTTGCAGTTCCACAGACATTCTCAGTGGATGAAGGTACCTTACACAGCAGCAAACCTACAGAAGCAGCGAAATGCAGCACAAAAGGCCAAGTCTGGCCATATTTGCTTCTCTCAACAGTAGAAGCTACTTAAGCAACGCCTGCCTCTGCTGCAAGGCTCCTTCCCACCCTCGTGCTGCTGCATGGCATCATCTCAGACAACTTCATGCCAGGGATCAATACCGGCTGCACTTTTAATCTACTGAAAGGGAGGAAAGTAAATTCTGTGGGGAAGACTAGAAGATGACAAAGGGCAAGGGAAGAGAACAGCAGAGACTGCTGAGCCCTTTTGGAACAGCTCACTAAAGCCTGGTCATGCAGTAAAATATATAAATAATTTACAGCCCAGTAATCAACTGATACACACTGAAATATCATTTACCTATCCTCCCTATCACTCCTGCTCCGCATCTCCTAAGACTGTTAGAGCAGAAGACGATGTAAATTTTGTGTTAAAATAAATTCAGAAGACAGATAGATCTTAATGCTTTGTTTACTGACTCCTGACCCTGCTCAGAAGTATTTCACTTCTCAAACTGCATTATTTGCTGAAAATATGAATACGAATATCCTGTTAATCTTTGAAAAGTGCTGTACATCATATGCAAATTGCATCTTCTATCCACACACTTGAGTTTAAGATTTGCATTTGCATAATGTGAAGCATTTCTAAAGGTCAATAAAATATAGATAATTACTCCTTGTTCAGAATGGCTTTTAACAAATGACCGTGGGGGAGGGGTCATTTCACTCAATCCAGTGAAAGCATAAAGTCAAAAACATTTCTACTTTATACATAAAACTGTCCAATTATTTTTTCAGCCTCAATTAGTAACAAAAGGAAAATATGAATAAAAATGCAATTTTGTCCTGAAGTAAATAACCTGGCAGTTCCTAAAATTAACAGCATCAGAATTATTTTAAATGTTTTTAGTTAAAAAAGAAAAGTAGAGACATACAAATCCCATTTGACTTCATCATCTGTGCAAGCATCTTAAGATGTAACTCTACAGAAAAGGCAAAACAATAAAAGTCACAAACTTACGCATGTGGGCAAATGTATTTTACATGGGGGCTTTTGATACCTGCAAGTGCTTCTGACCACCCATGCCTGTTAACAACAAAACAAAAAAAAAGCATGTTAAATGTCATTTATGTTTTAGCTTAGCTCTTACTTCTATGTTGCTGCAACAGCACAGAGCAAGTACGAGATATGCTGAATTAGGTCAGTATTTTTAGAAAAAAATTACACATAGTACAGTGTGCTAGATATCTTACAATACTAAAAAGGTTTATTCTGTCTCTGAGTATTTGTTGCATATATACAACCAGGGACACTATCTAATTTGAGTACCAGAGCTGTGGCACTGCTGCAGAAATGCCACTCTGGCACTGTGCAGAGCCTGCTCCTCACCTGGCAAAATTTAACAACTTTGGCACTAAAACATATGAGCACAGCTATGTATTGCTTCTGGACTCAGTGCTGAACCACAGGCCACTGTGCTGCTGCTGTAGAGCTAAGGCAGCTTTTTTCACAGGCAGCTTTGCCATTTCTGAATCACATCTCTTGGTGTTGCAGAATAGCAGATTGACACCTAACCTAGCTCCTTACGGAGTCACCTAACCGAGTCAAACACATTAACTTTGGCTTAGCTGGAACGCTCTCAGATTCAGGCAGCCCTGAACAACGCTCCACATCCCAGGTAAGTTTTCAGATCTCAAGCATGTGCTGCTTGAGTGCACAGAGCCTGGGATTTGCATAGGACATGAGCTGTCAAGCTTCCTACAAACCAGGAAACTGGAACTTGTAATTTAAATACAGAGCTCTGCAAGACGAATGCCAGGGCTCATCTAGACTTGAACTATACTGGACCCAAACCTGAATCCACGCAGCTTTCCCAAACGTTTAGTAGTACCTGTATTTCCTTATTTCCTGATTTTTCTCACTTTATAGTATTCCTAACTCATACAGTAAACTAGGTAACAGAAAGTTGATTCTAAGCAGCACAGATCTGTAACAAATTCATCAGTGACATAGCTGAACTAACCTGTCCAACAGCAGACAAGCCATAACATCTTTTAATTTTAGTATCAGCCTAAGAAGTCAACGTATGCTACATGAAGGTAACGAGGTTTCAAACACACGGAGAGCATGGGCATTTGAAGCTCTGGCTGTGTTTGTCAACCTTCTCCCTACCAATACTTTTACATATACTAGTAACAAATAGTGGGCAATGATCTTACTTGCATAGTATGTTCAATAAACCACAAAATAACCAAATAAGAACCTAAAGGAGATATATGACTGAGAAGAACTAGTTAGATAAGAATTTGGGAACTTTTTTCCTTTAGCCAAGTATGAAGATTATTTGAAAAATTTGAAAAACTGCACTGTATACACATTTATACTCTTTAGAACAATCTTCTATGTTGCACATTTTCTTCAGATTATGATGAGTATGTACAAATCCTTGTGCCTCTTATGTAGAAATGAAAGAACACAACCTCTAACATGTCAGACATCTCAGAGCAAGAAAAATAAAGTTGGTAAAATGAATTCAACAATTTAAAAATTCACGTGAAAAAATACAGGTCAGTTTAAACTGTGGGAATTTTAAAAATCTTTAATGTGTCTTTTCAAACAATTATTATTATTTTTTTTTTATGTCCTATGACTTTTCTGGGGAAAAAATGGCAGTGTGTTCAAGGCAGCTTTAGCTAATCTAACCTGCAGCGGTCTAGAGGAACAACACAGCAAGTCACCCTATTTCCACAGAGGTGTTACAACTTCAGGAGTACCTTCTGGTACACTCAGAGCATTTGCAAGCTGGAGGCTGTGTGGCAGCTTTGTAACTAAAACAGAAACGTCACATTTGCATGAGGAAAACTATTTATGTTAAGGGGCAAACTTTTATGATTTTTCTCCCCTTGCCAAAATCATCAACGTAATTCGCAAGGACTCTAAGCCAGAAGACCCAGAAGATTCTGCAACCCCTTGCCGAACATTTGGAGCCAAGATGCAGGAAGTAACTGCAGCCTCAGCTGCGTCCTACCAGCAAAGAGGAAGAGGGATAATTCAAACCCGGTGACGAATTACCAGTCAGCACAATAAATGAGAGCAAACATCTCCGCTTGTAAAATATTGCCAAATGCATGGACTTAACTCTTTTCAAGTTACTAAGTGTCCAAGTTACATAAGTTTCAGTTCTGACAGTTCACTGGACTTTTTTTCTTTTTTCTTTTAAAAAAGCTTATTTTTTAAATTTAAACACTGTCAGTTTCAACCTAGAGGTGACATTGAAGTTCTGGGTAACAAACATGGAGTTCTTCAAAAAAATACTATGTAGCTTTGTCCATAAAGGAGCATAATAGACACAGTATTCACAGTAACTATTTCTGGTTCCTAGGTGCTTATTCCTTTAAAATCTTATAGAAAAAAAAAAAAAAAAAACAAAAAAAAGTTTCAATAGCATGTTAATTCAATGGCTTTAACACTAGAGAAGAATGAATGCATGCTTGTATCCTGCCACACACAAGCCTCAAGCAGGAACATTACACCGCTGCTAGACTCCTCCCAAGGATTCCCTGCTCTTCTTATTTCCATTCCAGCATGGAATTTCCAGGGGCAAAGGAAACAAGGTGTTTTATTTCACAGCCTGCTTGTTGTTCAGGGTGGAGGGTTTTATTGGTGGTGGTGGTGCTTTTTGTTTTTTTCTTCTAAGAGTGTTAAGACCATATATCAGATAGAGAAACCTGTAGGCAGGAGGTGACTACCTACGAGTTTGCTCTGAGGTGTTAAAATTCAGGCTTTCTTGATTTTAGTGTCACATACTGAAGAACCCGTGAACTAACTGCACCTACTAGCAAACCGGCAGTCCACAAGTCTAGAAAAAAAAAAAGAAAGGAAAAAAAAAAAGTCTAAATTTAGACAAACACAGGAATGATCAGGAACTACTCTCCGGAAAGAGAAACGTCAGAAACACACGGGGCTTCTTTTTCCACCAAATTTGAATCCCAAAGCGTCCCGTTCAGACCAAACTACGCGTTTGAAAGGCGGTAGAGGAAGCTTTTGAGGTTCTTTCTGGCCCTTTACAACAAATGGTTGCCAGCGTCGTTGCAGCATACGTGAAGTTACGGGTAAAACACCACCAAAAAAAAAAAAAAAAAGTTTAAATCCCTTCAAGTTGCACCCAAACCCTTATCACTACCCGCGCTACCAGACCGGCATACGCACCCGGTATCCCCCAATCCGTGAAGAAAAATCACCTGGAAAAGAGAATCAGAGCGGCGTTAGAGCCCTAATGACGAGCGCCCCCCCCCTCCCTTCCCCTCCCCACCCAGCCCCATCCGCCATGAGGGAGCCGCCGCCGCCGCGGCCAGGGCCGCACGGTCTACCCAGCCACCCGACCCCGCCGACCTTCCCCGGGGCCGGGAACAAAGCGGGGAAGGACGGGGGGAGAGCCGGAGAGGGAGAAGGAGACGGAGAGGGAGAAGGACCGCCTGCCTGCCCAACCCGCCCCGCTGCCCCCGCCCGCACTCACGGCGGCCGTCGCCTTCCTGGCGGCCGGGACGATGGCGGGCAGCGGCGCCGACATGTTGTTGCCGCACATGCACGGCGCTGCCGGGCGGCCAGCGGGGCGCCGGCCAGCAGCGGCGAGGCGGGGCGCGGGGCGGGCACGGCCCGCCCACAGCCCGCCGTGAGGCGCGGTCGTTGGGGGCGCTGAGGGGAAGGGGCGGCCGCCCACCCCCCCCCACAGCTTCCCCTCAGCTCCCCCTCAGCTTCCCCTCAGCTTCCCCTCAGCCGTCCTCAGCCCCCCTCAGCTCCCCTCAGTCGCCCTCAGCTCCCCCTCAGTCGCCCTCAGCTCCCCTCAGTCCCCCTCAGCCCCCCTCAGTCCCCCTCAGTTTATGGTTCGTTTCTTCTCAAAATGGCTTTCCTGATGTTGTACAGAGCTCGGGGGTAAAGGGAAGTCCCCATACTCATCATGCAGTCGATATAAAATAGTCACGGGAAAGAGCGAAAACGCCAATATGGCAAAGGGCATCATTAGACGGAACTCATTTGTCCCTGTCAGATCAGGTGCCTCCATCGCCAAATTAAATCTGGCTTATGGCCAAAGCGTGAGTGGCTCTTACTCACCCTGACACGCATCAGGCTGCTCAGGCGCTGCCTGCCGAGCTGCTGCACTGTCCCAGTCCATTTTTAACACTTAGACCAGCTCTGGATAAGTACGGCGAACACATTTCTGCCCGAATGAAACACTCGGTTCTTTGTCCTCTGCTCCATGCATCTTTGTCAGATGCTTCCTCCCAGAAAGTCAATCCGCTCATTGTGTTCTGCAGGCTGCGATCTGGCTAACACTGATGCTATTTTGGCAACTCAAGCAGCAGCTGAACGCTCGCTGTATTATGTGAAAGCACATCCTTCCCACTGGCACACCCCATACCAGGCAGGGGTGGTTTTCTGCAGAGAGCAAATTGTGCTCAACAGTGTTAATATTTTTGTCAGCGTGGCTGCATAAAATATAAGAGAGAAGACTGTGCACCAACTAAGTAACTTTAAATACATGACCTCTTTTGCCACTGACTGTTATATTGCTTTGACATACAGTACTGATGCCAAGAGGTCCTGTTATTGCCGAAATTTGATTGTTTTAATGGGAGGCTTTTTAGTGTTTTATCTCTGCACTTTAGTGTGTGTTCTTGCCTCATGCCTTGTGACCAGTGCTGTTTAATATCTTTATCAGTGACATAGACAGTGGGACCAAGTGCACCCTCAGCAAGTTTGCGGATGACACCAAGCTGAGTGGTGCAGCCAATACAACAGAAGGAAGGGAAGACATCCAAAGGGACCTGGACAAGCTAGAAAAGTGGGACCATGTGTAACGAGAAGTCAGAAAGTCACCAGTGATAGGACCCGCAGGAATGGTGTCAAGCTGAGGCAGGGGAGGCTGAGGCTAGACATCAGGAAGAGGTTCTTCACCGAGAGGGTGGTCGTACTCTGGAACAGGCTCCCCAGGGAAGTGCTCACTGCACCAAGCCCATCAGAGTTTAAGAAGGGTTTGGACTGTGCACTTAGTCACATGGTCTGAATTTTTGGGTTGACCTGTGTGGTGGCAGGAGTTGGACTCGATGATCTTGTGGGTCCCTTCCAACTCGGGACATGATTCTATGATGCTATGAAAGTGCAAGGTGCTGCACCTGGGTCAAGACGAGCACAGACTGGGAGAAGAACTCACTGAGAGCAGCCCAGCAGAGAAGGACTTGCGGGTTCTGGTGGATGAAAAGCTCGACATGAGCCAGCAGTGTGAGCTCACTGTGCAGAAGGGCAATTGCATCCTGAGCTGCATTGACAGAGGAGCGGCCAGCAGATCAAAGGAGGGGATTGTGCCCCTCTGCTCTGCCCTTGTGAGGCCCCAACTGGAGTGCTGCATCCAGGCCTGGGGTCCCCAGCACAGGAAGGACGCGGGGCTGTTAGAGCAGCTCCAGAGGAGGGCCACAAAGATGCTCAGAGGGCTGGAGCACCTCTCCTATGAAGAAAGGCTGAGAGAGCTCGAGGTGTTCAGCCTGGAGAAGAGAAGGCTCCAGGTTGACCTCATTGCAGCTTTTCAGTACTTAAAGGGAGCTTATAAAAAAGATGGAGAATGACTTAGACAGGCAGATAGTGATAGGACAAGGGGGAAAGGTTTTAAATTAAAAGAGGGGAGATTTAGATTAGAGGTTAGGAGGAAATTTCTCACTCAGAGGGTGGTGAGGCACTGGCACAGGTTGCACAGAGAAGCTGTGGATGCCCCATCCCTAGAATGTTGACCTGATCTAGTGGGTGGCATCCCTGCCCGTGGCAGGGGTGTGGAACTAGGTGACCTTTAAGGTCCCTTCCGACATGAGCCGTTCTATGATTCTATGGTTCTGTGATGTACCCAGTTCAAATGTGTTACAAAAATGTAGTTCATGAATAAAAGATTCCTAAAAGATTAGGAGCTTCACGCTGTGTCAGCTTCTTATCAAGCAGGATAAACCTGATGCTTTCTGTAGAAGAGGTGAAAAAATAGTCTTCCCTTTCCACCCCAGCATTGACTACACTGTCACATATTTAGTAGATGGAAATGTCACGAGGCGGCCTGCTGGTGCACCTCCTGCTTCGAAGGTCAGCAGTCAGCTCATAACTGGAGCAAGATTTCAGTCGGAGCGATCTCACAGCGTGGTCGGGGCTGCTGCAGGCACACAAGCTCTGTGCAGACCGGCCATACAGGAGATGCAGAAAGCAGGATGGCCAACGGGGAACCCTAAGGGCAGACGGTGGGGGGACTTAGCTCCTAAAATCCCAGAGGAATCGGTGACAACATCTGGGTTGTGAATCTTTACAGCCTCGTGAGTTGGGTATCTCTTTATAGGGGTCTGCATATGAGTGTTTTCTAGGTAGCCTGAGGCAGTGCAAGCTTTATGAGGCAAAACACTAGGTATTATAGTAAAAAAAAAAAAAATAAATGTATTTTCGCTGCCCTAGTGGCTGAAATGCACTGAGATGGTTCCCCATAGCACTCTGTACAGCTGTTTTGCCCAAGGAAACTTCAGACTTTCACCCTGCTGACCCCCTCACACTTTATAACAACCCTCCTCCCCCCCCGGCCGCCATGTCGGGGCCGCGCTGCCCCGCGCGCGCTCCCGCCTTGGAGGAGGGGGGGGGGGGAGGGAAGCGCGACAGTGCTGCGCGGCGCGCTTTGCGGCTGCTGCCGTAAAGCAGCTCCCCCCCTCCTCAGGCAGCGGCGCTGCCGCCCTCGGGCCGGGATGAGCGGCCCCGGCGGGAGCAGGGCCCTGGAGCTGCTGCGGGCGCTGCCCAAGGTCAGCCTGGCCAATCCTGAGGCCCAGCCCCGGCTCCAAAAAGAAGGTGAGTGCCTGCGGAGGGCCGGGGAGGAGTGTGGGGGGTGTCGGCGTTGTGCCTTGTCCCGTGTCCTCTGAGCTGTCCCCGTGGGAAGCTGGGCGGTGGGTGGCTGCGTGGTGCAGCTGGTACAACGGAAGGAAGGGATGACATCCACGGGGCCTGGACAGGCTGGAGAAGTGGGCCCGTGTGAGCCTAATGAGTTTCAACAAGTCCAAGCACAAGGTGCTGCACCTGCCTTGGGGCAATCCCAGACGTGAGCACAGACTGAGAGAAGAACTCACTGAGAGCAGCCCTGCAGAGAAGGACTTGGGGGTTCTGGTGGATGAAAAGCTCGACATGAGCCAGCAGTGTGTGCCTGCAGCCCAGAAGGGCAACTGCGTCCTAGGCTGCACCAACAGAGGGGTGGCCAGCAGGGAGAGGGAGGTGATTGTGCCCCTCTGCTCTGCCCTTGTGAGGCGCCACCTGGAGTGCTGCATCCAGGCCTGGGGCCCCCAGCACAGGAAGGACGTGGGGCTGTTAGAGTGGATCCAGAGGAGGGCCACAAAGATGCTCAGAGGGCTGGAGCACCTCTCCTATGACAAAAGGCTGAGAGAGCTGGGATTTTTCAACCTGGAGAAGAGGACACTCCAGAGTGACTTCACTGTGACCTTTCAGTACTTGAAGGGGAACAACTCTGTTCAACCTCATAATGACACGACAAAGAAGAATTGTTTTAAACTAAAAGAGGGGCAATTTAGATTAGATATAAGGAGGAAGCTCTTTACTCAGAGGGTGGTGAGCCCCTGGCACAGATTGCTGAGAGAAGCTGTGGATGCCCCATCCCTGGAGGTGTTCAAGGCCAGACTGGATGGGGCTTTGGGCAGCCTGGTCTGGTGGGAGGTGTCCCTGCCCATGGCATGGGGATTGGAACTAGGGGATCTTTGAGGTCCTCCTTCCTTTCCTGTTAGGAAAACATGTCGTTTTTTTTTTTTTTAAAAAAAAAGAATAGGGTCCTAACTTGAGAGTAGAGATTTTTTGTATGCTCATTGGGTCTTTTGTAAGTAACTTGCAACTTCAAATAGGAAATGAATTGCAATTTTTTCCCCATGTTATCACAAACTTCAGTTAGAGCTTGGACAGGTGACCTCAGCTCTCTTTCTCACAGAACCTGACAGCTTTAATCTGTGATTATTCTTCCCACATGAGTGGGTTTAAGAGCATTTTACTTCACAAACAAGTTGCCGAAACAACCCAGATGTTTGGATTGACTTCACTGACAGCCTGGGCAATATACCAGTTGCACTCTGGTTTTGACCCCAAATCACCCGTGTGTTTGTGTTAAACAAAGTCACTGTGTACACGGCGGTGTGGGCAGGTTGTGCCCTCCCTCTGCCTCCGAGTGCAGGGAGCCAGGTTACAGAACCAAACCTGATGAAATCTAATTAGGCCAAAAGTTAGTTTTCATCCATTTTAATTCCCTGGTGCAACGCAGAGGCACGCGGCACAAGGGATCCTGCAAGTAAAGCAGCAGAATGTGGGTGAGGGACAAGACAGCTTCCTTTGGTGGCAGGAGTAGTCTGGTCAAGCGTAAAGCTTCACTTGACCTTTACGCTGCTCAGCATTAGTACAGGGAAGCTGTGCATCTTAGATCAGGTTTTCCAAGCATATCCATGCATCTTTTTCTGATGCATGTCCACTTTGGCCTTCTTATTAATATGGCTGTGCAGTAGGTGGTTGGTAACTTTGGAAGACTTGCAGGCACAATGAAAAGCTTAAAACATCAAACTTTGTGTCGGTGGTGGCAGGCAAATAATCAGGTACCGTGAC